TTCTAACTCACCCTGCCTTCACCTTCCAAGGGCTAGGATTAAAGGCATGTAGGACTACTCCTTGCTCTGCCCTTCCAAGTATTAACCAGGCAATTAACCAGGTTTTTAAGAGCAGATGAACTTAAGGTGTGACTGTAGGCTGTTTATAGGGCTTACTAATTCTAAAATTCTATTGTCTTACCTTACTACTTAGCTATACTCTAGTGGGATGTATGTAGTATGATATATTTAAATTGAAAGAGAAATTGCTGGCATACAGTATCTAATGTTACACCTTAAACTACGGTTTGTTGCTTCTGTAGTTTGTTTTTAGAATTTTTAGTCCACATTAAATAAATTTAATAAAAAATGAACCACAATAATGCTTGGCTCAGTAAAAGAATGACCGGTTGAGATATGTAGTTTGTTGAAGAAGTTTATTAATATTGTGAAGATCAAATTGCAAAAGTCTTTGTGAAGTATACTGTGCTTTAAAAAAATTCACAAGTGAGCCACACTATTTGTAAACTATGGAAAAGGAAGAGAATGACAAAGCCAGGTGGAAGTTATTGGTTTTCCCTTGTCGGGAGTAGAGAGCACACATGCTTGGCTTCACTGAGTTATAACTTGGAGGGTACATTTGTAAGTGCTCAGTTATGTTACACGGTGTAATAAAATGAATGTTTTATTTATTGAGACAGGGTCTCACTATGTAGCCCTGGCTGGCCTTGAACTCACTATGTAGACCAGAGTGATTTTGAATTCACAGAGATCTCCCTGTCTCCTCTGCCTTCCATCCTAGCTGAAAAATTAACACTTACAAATGTGCCATTTATGCTGTGTGATATAAATACATGTTACAAATACTTCTTATGAAAATGGAAGATCGTCTGAGAAATGAAACAGCTTTTAATAAGGTGCTCCACTGCACGTGCTGTGTGATATTTAGGAAGTCTCTCCACTGCACATGCTGTGTGATATTTAGGAAGTCTCTCCACCGCACATGCTGTTCAGTGATATTTAGGAAGTCTCTCCACTGCACATGCTGTTCAGTGATATTTAGGAAGTCTCTCCACTGCACATGCTGTGTGATATTTAGGAAGTCTCTCCACTGCACATGCTGTGTGATATTTAGGAAATCTCTCCAAGGCACATGCTATTCAGTGATATTTAGGAAGTCTCTCCACTGCACATGCTGTGTGATATTTAGGAAGTCTCTCCACCGCACATGCTGTTCAGTGATATTTAGGAAGTCTCTCCACTGCACATGCTGTTCAGTGATATTTAGGAAGTCTCTCCACTGCACATGCTGTGTGATATTTAGGAAGTCTCTCCACTGCACATGCTGTGTGATATTTAGGAAATCTCTCCAAGGCACATGCTATTCAGTGATATTTAGGAAATCTCTCCACTGCATGTGCTGTGTGATCCACCTGCTTTTGGCTCCTGAGTGATAGATTAAAGGCAAGTCCACCCCAAACTTGCTACCTTTTAATAGCTAGACTTTATTTTGTTTTTAAAAAGATTTTATTTTTGTATTATGTGTATGAGTTGTTTTGCCTGCATGTAAGTATACTAATGAGTGCTGTGCCTGCACAGTTCAGAAGAAGACATTTGAGCCTTTGGAACAGTTGCAGATGATTGTGAGCTGTCATGTGGGTCCTCTTATTCTAGCAGCAAGTGCTCTTAACACAGTCATCTCTCCAGCTCCTTAAAACACTAGACTTTGAACAGTACTTGCATGACCAGGCATCCTTTCTATCCCATTGTTTATTGTGAAAGAAATTTAACATTTTCTTTTCTGTACTTTCTTTTTCACATGATTATTTTGCAGCAAGGACAAATACTTTGTCACCTTCCCATATCCATACATGAATGGACGCCTTCATTTGGGACACACGTTTTCCTTATCCAAGTGTGAGGTAATGCTCTTGTGTTTTCTAAGGTGGGATGGGGGGGGATCTATAATAAATATCAATTTGTATAAAATTGCATGCGTAAAATTTATTTCCTTTTAAGGGAATTCAAATTCTTTCTTTTAAAGAATAATTTTTATAGTGTAATTTTTATACTTTTGTTTCCATGCCATGTGCATATTTGTTCAGGGCTCTGGACATCTTTATGTTCAGAATTTCTGTGTTGGTGAAAAACAACAAAAAAAGATAGTGGAGAAGAATTTTGTAGTGATAGAGTGTCTGTTCTAAAGCTGGGCAGAGGGAAATTAGTGCCGTCAAAAGTTAGCGTTTTATGTACATCTACCATTTATATTTATAATTTAAACTTGATTCTCTTCCTGTAGTTTGCAGTTGGATACCAGAGATTAAAAGGAAAAAGTTGTCTGTTTCCCTTTGGGTTACACTGTACCGGTATGCCTATTAAGGTAAGATTGCTTAGAGGATTGGCTTCCACTCTTCTTTTCCTTAATTTTTTTTAAGGTTTATTTATTATGTATACAATGTTCTGCCTGCATGTATGCCTGCACTCCAGAAGAGGATGCCGGATCTCATTATAGGTGGTTGAGAGCCACCTTGTGGTTGCTGGGAATGGAACTCAGGACCTCTGGAAGAACAGCCAGTGCTTTTAAACCTCTGAGCCATCCCTCCAGCCCTTGGTTTCTACTCTTAAGCTTAGAGTAAACAATTATACCTTGTTGTTGTTTCTTGGCTCTTTTCAGGGGCCCAGCTCTCAAATAAATCACACACAGAAGCTTATTCTTACTTACGAATGCCTGGCCTTAGCTTAGCTTATTTCTTGCCAGCTTTTCTTAACTTATCCTGTCTACCTTTTGCCTCTGGGCATTTCCCGTTCTCTTACTTCTGTAAATATTACTCTGTGGCTTGCTGTGTAGATGAGAGGCTGGCTGGCCTCTGGAGTCCTCCTCCTCCTCCTCTGGCTACTAGATCCTTTCTCCCAGTTTTCTCCTTCTATAAATAAATACTCTCTGCCTGCTAGCCCTGCCTGTCCTTTCTCCTGCTTTGCCATTGGCCATTCAGTTCTTTATTAGACCATCAGGTGTTTTGGACAGGCACAGTAACACAGCTTCACAGAGTTAAACAAATGCAACATAAACAAAGGTAACACACCTTAAAATAATATTCCCCAACAATACCTGATTTATGATCTTGGAATTGGATTTAACTTGTGCCATATTATGTTAAAATGTTCGATGAAATGAATTAAATTTGTTATAGTGAAAATAAATTTATTTATTTTTTTTTCCAAGACAAGGTTTCTCTGTGTTGTTTTGGTACCTGCCCTGGATCTCACTCTGTAGACCAGGCTGGCCTCAATCTCACAGAGATCCGCCTGGCTCTGCCTCCTGAATGCTGGGATTAAAGGCATTTGCTGTGGCCGCCGCCGCCGCCGCCTGGCTAATTTAAAAATTTTTGAAGGGCTGGGGAGATAGCTTAATGGGTAAAGCACTTGCCAAGTGTCTTAGGGTTTCTATTGCTGTAAGGAACACCATGACCATGGCAACTCTTACAAAGGAAAACATTTAATTGGGGCTGGCTTATAGTTGAGGGGTTTAGTCATGATGGGAAGCATGGTGGCATGCAGGCAGACATGGTGCTAGAGAGGTAGCTGAGAGTTCTACATCTGGATCTGCAGGCAGCAGGAGACTGTGTGCCACATTGGCCAGACTTGAGCTTGTAAGACCTTAAAACCCGCTTCCACAGTGACACACTTCTTCCAACATGGGCACACCTACTTCAACAAGGTCACACTTCCTAATAGTGCCACTCCCTGTGGGCCTAGGTGGGCCTTTTTTTTTTGTTGTTGTTGTTGTTGTTGCTGTTGTTTTTTGTTTTGTTTTTTTTTTTTTTTTTTTTTTTCGAGACAGGGCTTCTCTGTGTAGCTTTGTGCCTTTCCTGGAACTCACTTTTTCGAGACAGAGCTTCTCTGTGTAGCTTTGTGCCTTTCCTGGAACTCACTCTGTAGCCCAGGCTGGCCTTGAACTCACAGAGATCCGCCTGCCTCTGCCTCCCAAGTGCTGGGGTTAAAGGTGTGTGCCACCACCGCCTGGCGGTGGGCCATTTTTATTCATATCATCACACCAAGTAAGCCTGATGATCTGAATTCAGAGCCCCGAATCCACCTGAAAGCCAGACACAGCAGTGCATGCAAATGTGTAATCTTAGTGTGCCCCTACCAGGATATGGGAAGCAGAAGAGTTGCCGGAAGCTCAGGGTCAGCTAGCCTGGCATATGGAGGAGTGAACAAGAGACCCTCTCTCAAGCCGGAAGGCCGGGACTGACATCTGAGACTGTCCTCTGACTTCCACATGTATGCACATGCATGGGCACATGCAAATTTATTGAAAGAAGGGCTTAAGTAAAAGTATACATTAGCCAGCTGTGGCAGGGCAATAGTCTCAGTTCGGAGGCTGAGGCAGGGGGATTGAGGGTTTGAGGCTAATCTGAACTACACTGTGAGACTGTTTCAGGAAAAAGGAAAAACACAAAGCACACATTGATGCACAAGTGATTTCTATGTCATTTTTAATGTGTTTTGAATAATTTATATATTCATATCTGTTGGAATTGGGTACTTATTTCTAACAAGTAAAATGTACAGCGATGTATATCTGTTTGTACACATAGAATGACATACAGTAATACACGTCCTATTTTGATCATTTTTGCAAGTTCATTTGCTGATGCATGGTATGCACAACTTTAATCTTAGTACTTGGGATGTAGATGCAGGTGGATATCTATGAGTTTAAGGCTAGCCCGATCTATATAGTGAGTTCCAGGCAAACTAAGTCTACATAGTGAGACCATGTCTCAAAAAAGCAATACATTCCCAGCACTCAGGAGGCAGAGGCCAGCAGATCTCTGAGTTTTTAGCCAGCCTGGTCTCCTGGTCTACATAGAGAGTTCTAGGCAAGCCAGATCTACATAGTGAGACCCTCTCTCAAAAACAAAACAAAATAAAAGCTTATTTTAGAAGTAATTTTCAATGAAGAATAGATCAGAAAATGAGAATTGATTTTTTTTTTTTTTTCCCCCAGGCTGGCCTGAACTCAGAGCTCCACCTGCCTTTGCCTCCTGAGTGCTGAGGTTAAAGGTGTTTGCCACTATCACTCTGCTGAAAAGATTTTTTTTTAAGAGTTAAGTTCTCCAGCATCTACCCTTAGTTTGAACACAATTTATGACATTTTTATTAACCTCCTTCTTTCAGTATTGATCTTTAACTCTAAGAGTTACTTTTTTTTTTTTTTAATATTTATTTGTTATGGATAATAGCCAGAAGAGGGCATCAGATCTCATTATAGATGGTTATGAGCCACCATGTGGTTGCTGGGAATTGAACTCAGGATCTCTGGAAATGCAGTCGGTGCTCTTAACTTCTGAGCCATCTCTCCAGCCCCGAAAAGATTTTAAAAGTAATAGAATTAGGATTTTTGTTGTTGTTGTTGTTAAGACAAAGTCTCATGTAGCCTAGGCTGTCCTTGAACTTGCTGTGTAGCCAAGGATGACCTGCCTCCATCCCATAAGTCCTGGAAATATAGGCTGTGCTATCATGCCTGGTGTGTATGATGTGGGGCTAGAATCGGGACTTTATGTGGGTGAGGTGAGCACTGTGATGCCTAAGCTGTACCCCAGCCCAGGAACCTGTGTTTTCCAGCCTGTTGTTTTGGCAGCTGTCAGACTTGCAGAAGAGGTGAAAGGGTGGTACTGGGAATGTTTAGTCTGTTCTACTTGAAGTCTGTTGCCTTTGCTTTAGCTCTGTCAGCTCACACCTAGGCACCCATGCCTTTCTGTAGTTATTCTGTGTACTTTTTGAAAGTGAGTTGCAGATGTTATGCTATCTACCTGGAGGTTTTAGTGCACATCTCTCTCTATATAGTGCATCTCCTTAATAGTGTGTATCTCCTTTGCAGCATGCCTCTCTCTCTTGTAGTCTTCATCTCTTTTGTAGCATGCATCTTTCTTTCCTCTGTAGCGTGCATCTCTGGAGAGCAGGGGCATTCTGTGTACCACTGTAGTCACATATCCTCTTGATTGAGTGTTAATGCGATATTATTACCTGTATCTTCTCTGTAGTTCCTTGGTCATCTCAAGATGTCTTTCTTGGTTGCATTTTTACGTTTTCTTCTAGGGGTTGTGCTTCACATGTAGTTCCCTTTAGACCTTTTAGTTGTTTGTCATGTTAATTAATGTTTGGATTTAGATACTTTGAAAAGAATATTTTATTGATGAGGCATAAACTTCTCATTGTGTCACATCAGAAAGCATATGATGGCAGCCTGTCCCATTTTAGTAACATTAAGTTAATACATGTCAGAGTTCCTCATTCTAAGGGTGTCTTCTTTAGTAATTAAAAAGTAGCATGTGGGGACTATATTAAGAACCTCTGAATGGCTTATAATTCAGTAGCTCAGTGGTTTTAACATCTTTTGATAATCCTGGCTTATTTTAATTACTATATGTGTGGTTGCAAAATGATGACTGTTTTGTGTTGTGTATGTGGTGTTGGAAATTGAACTCAGGGTCTTAAACATGGTAGCCAAGTGCTGTGACTCTGGGTCACATCTTCAAACCAAATGGTGGGGCTTTCTCCCCTTTCAGTACTAGACTTGGAGGCAGGGCTTTGCTTTACTATGTAAATAGTCTCTCTAAACCTGAATTATATCCATATTTTTATTTAATTTTTACTTTGAGACAGTCTTGTTATATTGCCCAGGATGATCGTGAACTTGTAATCCCCCTGCCTCAACCCCCAGAACATCTGTGTGTGTCAGTAGTACCTTTTTAGTTGTGTCTTACTTATTAACTAAAACTCTTCAATGTTTTAACTCATGGTATAGCTGGGAAGAGCTGTGGTGGAAAGCTCAGTTCTGTAGCTTATAGTCTTGGATAAATCACTTCATGTCAGTGTCTGTTTTCTTTTTTCTTTTTTTCCGAGACAGGGTTTCTCTGTGTAACTTTGCACCTTTCCTGGACCTCACTCTGTAGACCATGCTGGCCTCGAACTCACAAAGATCCACCTTCCTCTGCCTCCCGAGTGCTGGGTGGGATTAAAGGCCTGTGCCACCACCTCCTGGCTATTTTCTAATTTAGTATTTGTCTGCCTAACAGGAGTGCTGATTACTAACAGGGTAAGAATTTACCTTCCACTACAAAGATAATCTTCAAAATGAGAAACCTTTAGTATTATTACCCAAAGTGACATACTGTGTTTTATGAATCTTTTCATTTCTGCTGTTTAGTGTATCAGGATGCTACATTGAGTACTGTAGATATTTAATAAAATACAAACTATATTAGAGGATTTTGAGGTGTGTGATTTGCATCGTTTGGGTTTTCTATTGTGACACGTATAGAATATGTATGTATAGAAGTTGCACACAATTTCAAAAAGTCCATTTTAGTTGGCCTTGGAAACAGCTTTATTTCCTTGAGTTCTGAACTTGGCTCTCTCTCCTGTTGTGCTGTAGGCGTGTGCTGACAAGCTGAAAAGAGAAATAGAGCTGTATGGCTGCCCTCCTGAGTTTCCAGAGGAAGAAGAGGAAGAGGAAGACAGCAGTGTTAAGCCTGGAGATATAATAATGAAGGATAAAGCCAAAGGAAAAAAGGTCTGGTGGCTATTTATGTTTCAGTTTCTTGGCTAAAGTTTTCCCCTCTCTGGTTTATATGTACATACCCAACACTGGCAGGTGCCTGGCACATGAAAGGTACTTGGTAATTTTAAGAAACTATCAAATCAAGGCTGCTTAGATGGGTCAGTGGTAAAGAGCTTTCTGGGTAAGCACATCTCTCTAAATCCCAGCCCTCCAGATGGGAGGTAGAGACAGAAAAATCCCTAGGAGCTTGTTGGCTAGCTAATCTGGAGCCACAGTGTCGAACAACAGAGACTTTGCCTCAAACAAGCTGGAAACCAAGAAATGCTACTGGAGGTTGTCCTGACCTCCACATGTGCAGCATAGTTACTGATGAGCGTGCACACATAAACATACATCATATATACACCCACAAAGATGAAAAATACATCAGATCAGCTGGAGAGTGGATCAGCAGTTAACAGCACTGTTTACCCATGTCCATTCCGAGTACTGACATCGTGGTTCATTACTGACTGTAACTCCAGTCCCAGGGTATCTGCTGTCCTCTTCTTGCCCCTTTGAGTACTTGCATGCATATGGTACACAGACATACATGCAGGCAAAATACTCATATACATAAAAATAAAAAAAAACCCACATCAAATCAAAATATTGTCTGGCTTTCTTGTTATTTTTTCACTTTAATTTGATATATTCTAAATTTAAAGGAGTTATAAGATAGTACAGCGTTCCAGCATAACCTTTGCCCACCTCCCCTAATGTTACTCTTTTGTAACTGATACAGTTCTCCTACCTCAGCAGCTAACATTAGTTCAGTGCTGTGTACTAAATTATAGAGTTCATCTGAAGTTTTTTAAAAGACCTCACTTTTTAAAAGATTCTATGTTTAGTTATGTGTGTATGTGTGTGTCTTTGTGTGGGTTTGTTATGTGCAGGTACTTACAGAATCTAGAAGGGTTCCCTGGAGCTGGAGTTACAGGCAGTTGTGAGCAGCCTGATGTGGTTGCTGGGAACCTAATATGTGTCCTCTGCAACAGCAGTGTGCTCTCCTAATTGCTGAGCTTTCTCTCTAACCTCCTTATTTGAATTAGAAATTGTATGTAGGAGGGGGGTAGGGGCAAGCTTACCAGTGGGTGCATGCTTATGGAGTTATGTGTGGGCAAGCTTACCAGTGGGCGCATGGTTATGGAGGTGTGTGGGCAAGCTTACCAGTGGGTGCATGCTTATGGAGGTGTGTGGGCAAGCTTACTAGTGGGCTCATGCTTATGGAGGTGTGTGGGCAAGCTTAC